ATGGTATAGGGAGTCATGATTCACATGCGTCAACTGTAATGCGCTAAGGGCTCAGTTTTATGGGCTACGTAATGATGGGAAAGGATTCCCTGGTTGACATGACAAGCTTTACGCATCATGGGTTTAGGTTAGGTTTAGGTGGGAGAGGAGTTTCCCATTGGCATATCTAATGCGCTCTGTACCAAGGATGTAGACTAGGTTATGATTCCACTTGCATTAAGTTTTAGGTGACGCGAAAATCGGATTACTTCATCGATCACTGTGAGTGTAGTGTGTGTCTGTTGATAGCGACAAATAAAATAAATCTTCTCAAAGATATTGCTCGGAATTTGTTGGAAACGGTGTTCATTCATTGGAAGAGCGACGAGACCATTCGGAAAATAGACGAAAGATAAATTTTCGATTTGAGCAAAGAAGGAAGTAAAAAAGACCGCTAATCTTATAATATAAACTTTAGATTGGTTTAGCTTAATAAACGCTTGTGGCTCTGCCGCAGTGCCGTACTAAAAAATTATTTTGTTGGCGCTGCTTGCTGTTTGATAATACAAATCGATAAGTCTGAAAGAAGAGTAAATGTAAAGCCTCTGTTACACGGCGCATGGCGTCCGCGCGGTCTGGAGCGGGACGGCGCGTTCTAGCGCGTTCTTTGACTCATTTCACCGCGGCAACGGCGTGAAAGAACGTCCTGGCGTGTTTTTTCTTGATTATCGTCGGCAAATGTAGTAAAGATATATAATGTAAAGAAACTTATACATATACCAGTTTTTCCCGCAGCTTCGCTCACAGAAATTAATATTGTTTCACCATAACAACAACATTTCATCCTTAAGGGTTGATTTTTAAAAATTTTCAAAACACATATTTGCTTAATTTTAACAATGAGTATTAAGAATGACCTTCCAGTAAATCTAACTACAAATAAAATGTACCCCATGGAAACGTTGTAACTTCTTTTCATTTAATTAATTATATCAAACAGTATAAATACCAAGTGAGCATAAATAGATCGTTCTCATTTTAATCTACTTCTACCTACGTTTTCTAAGTTTTTTTTTAAAGTCCGCCTATTTTTGAAGGCACGAGCCGCCACTGGATTGTTATCTATTATTAGGTATCTTTTAAATTAGACTAACTCGTACTTGAACAAAACTATTTTAGATGATGGTATTGAACTTAAATTAGTCTCAATGTTATTAACTGAGTCATGTTCTTGGTCTTCGTCTTATAAATAGTCGAAATGTGATCTTGCCGTAGGCTATCATTTACACACAATAAAGAACTGTACTTAAAGATCAGAGAATAAACCAATCTATCACTTGTTATGTAGGACTGTACAACCCTGCCTGACAATTAATATGCAGAAAATTTAAAAAGTCACCACATTAATATATTTGCCGGGTAGGTTTCGCTTTGCAAATAACCAGGGGCGCAACAAGGGGGGGGGCAGAGGTGCCTGGGCACCCACTCGATTGGGTTGGGCACCCAGTCAATTCCAGTCGATTCAGATAATATCCCAACTTAAAAGTTCGGTTCAAATAGTTCAAGCTCTTAAATGAGCAGCCGAACTCGATCTTTTCGGCTTATATACACCTGCAGTATATAAATATTTATGGTATTATGATGGGAGTACCCAGTCAAACTGTAACGTTGTTGCGCCCCTGCAAATCACTATCAAGAATTTCGGCACACATACAATTTAGAAGACTAGTCAAAATGAACCGAGGAAAATTCAGCCAGCTGCGCTGATTATTAATTTTAGAAAATAGACGCTCTATCCTAGAGTAATAAATATATGTATGTACAAAATTAAAAACCATATTCCATTGAGAAAACTTCCGAACTACGGTTGTATCCACTCGCACAAAGAAAACTGCACCAAAACTTCCTTTTAGTTTTGGAAATTACTTAGGTAACTTGTTTCAAAAGGCAACGTAAGTTTCATATCGTAATATAACTTTATGTAATACATTGGCGAAAAGCTCTCAGAATAATTTATTCTTTAATTGATTTATGATGCATATGCCTAACTTTTGAGTTTTGTTTAACAACCGGTTTGAAACAAAATATACACTCATATTCTTAAATAAAAACCAAATGTAAATAGATCTTAAATGTAGATCAGCAAGAAGATATTAGTGAGTGTCACGAATACTAGACTTTTTTTTAACTTTTCTTCATAAACATGTGTTCTACTAAGCCATTAAATTAATTCCAAGGAATTATTACGAAACCAAAAGAATTGTTAGTTTGTTACTAGTCTTTGATGCAGATAGCTTCCTAGTTTCTTTTAAACATTTGCAGAATTATGTCTTGTATGTTTTAAAAATAAGCAAAAAGCAACAATTCGGTGCAAATTATTAAACTGCTACACGAACGGAACAAGGTCGATATACATACACATATGTATGTTATATATTTTTAACTTTTTGAGCATGAATGATTTCTGTGAAAGGTTGCGCCAATGACAAAATTGGAAACTGATAGAACATCAACATCAAATTTGGAACTTACATAGATAGTAAAAGATAATCTACCATTTCATACTTATATAAACATAGAGAACTTAAAATTTGCTCTGTAAGATTAAGTTGATAACCATTTATTAAGCTACTTCATTTTATACCGTTTCACTATTTTTATTTATTACCCTTTTTATTTATTCTGACCGTCAGAGCAAATATTCGCATTTCCTGGAAACTAAAGCATAACACATCCTTAACTATTTGCGAACAGTAATATAATGTAGGTTTTCCTGTGCCCCTCTTTGCCCTTGCTTTTGCTTTTAATATGTCACTATCTATTAGCCTTTCATATCTCAAAATGTGTTCTACCACTCTATTTCTCATTTTCCTTATTAACTTCCACAGCGCCTTTTATGTCCTTGCTGTTACCATTGCCTCATACATTCCATTCATTCTATTTCCGATATTTTCATTATCCACATCTCAAACTTTTCATTATAATTACATTATCATCATCATCATAAGGTCGTCAGTCCTGAGACTGGTTGGACACGTAACTCCACTCTTTTCTATCCTGAGCTAAACTTCGCATTCCCCTAAAACTAGAACAACCCACATCCTTAACTATTTGCGAACATTAATCTAATCTAGGTCTACCTCTACCCCTCCTAACTCCTGTTTCAGCCTCTAATATGTCTCTGACTAGACCTTCATGCCTAAGAAGGTGTCCTACCAACCTATCTCGCCTATTTTTTACTGACTTCCATAGAGTCCTCTGTTCTCCTATTCTTTCCAATACCTCTTCATTTCTAACCNATCCATATATGTAAATGGACCTTGTTGGAGCATACGTAATCCTAAAATGTAGCATCGTACTACTGACGGCGTTTACCGCGCCATTTGTGGTATTTTCTAGGTGAGTGGTAATTAGAAAGAGAGTCAAAAGGCGCGGAGACGAAATGAAGGCAGAAGAGAAGTAAATGATTTTATCTGTGGAATTAATATTACCTCCCGAGAATTTGCTTAAATGATCCAAGGAAATCACAAAAAAAATTGGACCAGGCCTGGCAAACGCGGAGTCGAACAGAACTCAGTAAATGTTAGTAGGTGTACAACATAATTCACGATAAACCTAATGTACCAACTACACTCACTCTGTCCAACAGTCCACTTAAACGTTTACCGCTAGCCGCATACAAAAACACCGCCGTTTTCTTTGTTGTCTAGCCGTACAAGAATTAAAATTGTGGAAATGGATGGGAGATAATTAGGAAGAGAGATGAGACAAACGAAATAAAGACCGAAAAGAACGGAATAGAACTAATGCGCATGTCTATAATAATCCCAGGAAACTACAGGATAACTTCGACCATAGCAAGCGAATTCGAATTTGATTTTACCTATAAGAGAAAGCCTCCAAATAACAGATGCAAAAAGGTAAAATTCGAAGATATCAATCATGTTATTCTGTTACTTTCGATGTGAATGTACCTATTCCATTTCCACATGGAGTATCTATTTGTAGATGTTAAAAATGAATTAGCATAACATGTCGTTGCATAAGTAATGCGTTCTGAGTCATTTGCTAATCTAATAGACATTCGTAACATTTCTGGGTCTGTAAATACGCACGGAATCTTGAACTTGTACGGTGTCTCGAAAATCCATAAATTAACAATCTATATTGACGCAGAAGCAGACAGAAATACCGGCGTTTTCAAAGGTCAATATTATCTTTCAATGTCTCAACCATTTCCCAGTTGATTAATGTCATACAAAGTTACTTTAAATTCATAGTAGGTACTTGTACAACAATCACAGAAGAATAGACAATAGCAAGAATGATTTAAGGGTAAACGAACGGTGCGTGATGTAACAAATAATAAATTAGATAAAATTAGATATACACATGTAATGGCTTCGGTTTAATAAAACACACAAACTCATTAAATGCACATTTTATATATTCACGTTAGTTACTAATAATGCCCATAGTAAGAGTTTGTACTTGTCAAAATGGCCCTAAAGCTTACGATCAGATTATTAATTACATAAAAGGTTGTTAAAGGTGTATGTTTGGAGTACGGCGTTGTACGAGTGCGAAACATGGACAGTGGGAGCGGCGNTCTTCTAATTTTTCGTCTCCTATCTTTATATTCGCTCTTTCCCTACTTTATCTTCCCTTGCATACCAGTATTTTAGTTTTACTTTTATTTATTTTCATACAGTACTGATCTGTCAGTACCGCTTCCATTTTATTTAAAGCTATCTCTAGGTCCTCCTTGCTAGATGCTAATACTGCTACATACAAAATAATAATTTAAATCAAGAAAAATATTTTTGATTGATTTCCCTTTGCTCTGTTCAATTTTCCCAAATTCAAAAAACCTGTTTCTGTACAAAACACGACTTGTACCGCGTGTTAGAATAATTATAGGTGAATCTCTTCTAATTGTTTATTTATTCCTCATCTCAGTTTGCTATTTGTTGCTTCGAAGTTCAATTATATTAAAAATTATATGATAACTGATCACTTACTTGCTAAGACTGATTCCGTTGTTGATAAAATCTTCGTGATGTAGCACAGTCTCGTTCCAGGGCAAATCGAGGAACTTCAGTACTTTCTGCATCCATTCTCTCGGATGCAAAACAAGTTGCTCATAGGGCACCTTCAGACATCGATCTTTACCAAGTTCATTACACTGATTGTTCATCGCTTCTACAGCTTGATTCCACTTGATCATGCTCTGACGATAACTTGTCATATCGAAACCGGAAATAGTTACTTTTCTAGATATAATCGAATGAACGGTAGCACGACCGTCTCGCACCATAAAGAGAAACTTTGCATTAGGGAACAATTCCATTACATACGTGCCCATCTTGAGGGTGAAAGGGTCTTTATTACATAATCGGGGTGCCGGTTCACCGTGTTTCGCAATTATTTCAAGCACGAAAGCCGCTATGGCCGAATTTAGAACGGGCTTTGTTATACCGGCCTGTTCTAATCGCAGTGATTCTTTTTCCGATTTTATCCAATGATGACGGAGCTGAAGCAGACGTGGTATCACACGGGTTTCTTGGCCACATCTGAAACAAACATAGAGAAATAAAGTCATTAATCGCTGGAATTATCTAAATTAATGCATACATTAAAGTAACATGGGAAAGACATGTTTTATGGTGGTGTACAGTTTAGCAAAAGTTTCTTGACCCATCAGTCGATTAGAATCTTGTGATGACAGGGCGAACGTCGTTCGCATATACCTATAAGGTTTGTACTTAATAGTACAGTCATTTGGTAGTTTTGCCTGGAAAGTTTTCCAGGAGTTTTGAAAATTGGTAATTTTATAGGTTTTGAGGTACTCATTCCGAATTTTAACTTTGCCACATCGTATATTTGCCGCTCGCACCGCCATATTGGAAAAATGGCGCTTAAATGCAGTTTTTTGGCAATATCTCCTTTCCAACTCATTTTACGATAAAAATAGTTATATACAAAATGAGACTAGGGACAATTGCCTATAATTTTTGTATCTACCTTTTTTCCATANTCATTTTACGATAAAAACAATTATATACAAAATGAAACTAGGGACAATTGCCTACAATTTTTGTATCCACCTTTTTTCCATAAAGTCAATAATTTCGGCGTACGAGCGCCGTAAAATGTACTCCAACGCGTGTTTTGGTAGAGCTCAATAGAAATATTTAGTCTGAGTTATCAGTACAGTTCGGAATATATGCATGCAAATATGCTTTAAAAATCGTCAAACTATGCATTATTATATGCATTTAAATTTTAAATAAAACAAAGAAATTCTGTTAACACTTGTATTTGTTTAAATCACAATAGCATAACTTACAAAAAAAAACCAACGAACGTTATCTTCAGACATACTATAACAATATAAAACTAAATGTTTTTCTACATCATCCATATTAAAATTATGTCATCTATTTGATAAAAAATGTAGGGACACCACGTTAAAAAAAAACGCGCCTCTTAGTCTACCTCAAGGTGGTGTGGAAATGAGTTTTTTTGGCCAAAATGCGTGTTGGAGTACACTTTGCGGCGCTCGTACGCCTAAACTATTAACTTGATGAAAAAAAGGTAGATACATAAATTGTAGGTAATTGTCTCTAGTTTTATTTTGTAGATAACTGTTTTTATCGTAAAATGAGTCGGAAAGGAGATATTGTCAAAAAACTGCTTTTTGGCGCCATTCTTCCAATATGGCGGCGCGAGCGGCAAAAACACGAGGTGGCAAAGTTGAAATTCGGAAAGAGCACATCAAAATCTATAAAATTACCAATTTTCAAAATTCCCGGGAAACTTTCCAGGTAACCACTATTTTTCGAACCAAATGACTGTACTATAAATCAACGATCGAAGTTTTATGGGGTGACATCATGCTACCCCAAACATGAATAGTAGGTTCTAAGTACGCCACCTATGCACACATGTGCAAACCACATCCGCTATTTATTTACTAACCTAAGCTAATCACTGTACTCTTGAGAAAAATTCGACGATAAATTACGATTACCTACGACATTTATTAATTAAAGGAAAAATTGTATGATGTGTGTCATGATGTCACTATGGTTGAGAGTTACGTCTAGGGGATAATAAAGCTATTACCTAACTTATGTATTTTCGACAATTATAAAAAACCTGGTTTTCCCCATAAGTAAGTATCCAATAAATCCAAAGTTATCATAAAAAAACTGAACATAAAAGTGGTTATAATAAATATTTTGCAAAAAACAAAATTAGCATATTTTAATATAAAAACGAGTGATCTTTAATGAAATTTAATTTTCTATATTGGAATACCTTTGATTGTAAAAAATTGATTTCTGAATATTATATTTCATTAAAAAGTAAGGTGTTAACAATTCTTAGAAATATTAAAAGGTTAATTGCATAATAATGTGAATAGTATTAACTATTATCCCGAGTTAAATGCTTCAGTTGGCAATAAATATCATTAAATGACGATTTGTCGGCGATTGATTAAAACTACCTATGGTGTGCTGTTGAGAACTAATGAATTCACAATCGCGATTCACATCTGGCTATTTCGATAAATTGATGACCGAAATATATATCTACCATCCGAATATCCACAATTTTCCACACCCTTTAGCATCTATCTGTACACAATACGTAGTAATTGCAAACTACTTCGGAAATAATTTATTGACCAAACTTTAGCCTATAGATAATTAGTTGACATCTGTTGAAAGCTTGATCTTAGCAAAAGCTCAGCTAAGATAAATTATGGGAGTTGGCGAAGCAATCTACTGTCCTTAGCAAACAAAGGATGAAAATACAATATAATTATCCGAGGCTCAGTATTAATGATACTTAGCTAACAGGATATGACTTTCCCATTTACTCATGATTTACAGAACGTAAGCAATGCTCAATTATGATAGATGTTCAAAAATAATTCATGGTTCCGATGGTATCGGAAGAAAAACGAAAATAGAGGTAATATTTTTCACAAAATTGAGGAAACTGCAATATTTGCTTCAAACGTACTAAAGAATAAGATCCAATGAATAAATGTATTGAAAATTATCGCAGATAATCTTTTTCGTAAACACCGTATAATTTTACTTAAAAAATATACAGGACGTAATGGTAATCTTTCTTTAAGTGTCATGAGTCTGAGTCATGACTATTAGAAGTTCAATAAATTTCAAACTTTTTAAAAATTACGATTTAATGTTGACCAACAAAATATTTTCTTTATTCGAACTTTTTCGTCATTTATTTCATTAATTTTGCAATTATTAAACTGTTTTTTTATCATCATAAAGTCGCCAGTATTATGATTGGTTGAACACGCATCTCCACTCGTTCCTATCCTGAGCTAATCTTGGCATTTTTCTTTTTTTTTCCTAAAACTAGAACATCCTACATCCTTAACTATTTATGAACAGTAATATAATCTAGGTCTACCTCTACTTCCCTTAACTCCTATTTTTACTTGTAATATGTCTCTGACTAGCTCTTATGCCTCAGAAGGTGTCCTGTCAACCTATCTTGCCTAATTCTCATTGACTTTCATAAAGTCCTCTGATCTCCTATTCTTTCTAATACCTCTTCATTTCTAACCCTCTCTATCCACGGTATCCTTATCATTCGCTTGTAATACCACATTTCGAATGCTTCCTTCTAACCTTTTCTTTTCCGCCGCGCCGCCGTCTATGTTTCGCACTCATACAGCGCTGCGCTCCAAATTTTGACACCTTTAACATTTTTTTATTTCTAAATTAACCGTTCGCGATCATAGAAGTGACTTCTTTTTATTAAAGGAGTCTCGACCCTGCGCTATCCTCCGTTGTAGAGTGCTCTTTCCATTCTGACTTCCTAGATATCGAAAATCGGTCACTTCTTCTAATTTTTCGTCTTCTATCTTTATAATCGTTCTTTTTCTTCCCTTGCATACTAGTATTTTGGTTTTCTGTTTTTGGATAACTGTTTTTAAGTAAAAAATGTTTAAATGATGCTCATTTTGGATATGATGGGTATTAAACAAAACGCCTACAGTTTTCTTAAAAAGTTTTGGAAGTCATTTCAGAACTGCATTTTGTGAAATTGAAGGAACAGAACTCGCTTTTACGCACATTTTGGGGAATACCTAGACATCGACCTATAAATATTTTTTTTTTGGACTGCCCTTTCTTATTGTTTCCTTGATAAAACCTTTTGAGCGCTGATTCTAGGCATGTATACTTTTAATATAATCGCAAGTGACCGATAAACAAAAATGCATTGATAATTTTATATGTAGAGTCTATGTTTTATTTTTAAGGATGAACTGAACTACCTTACTAATCCTTAAAAATTACTCAAAATGCATTTATTCCATGTTGAAACAGCAAATACATCGGAAATTATAAGAGTTGTATCATAAACTGTTTCGTCTTTAAGTAATGATCATAATCCCTATTAAAGCATTATTATCAATGATTTTTCCAGTATCTACTATACATATAACATATAAACAATAATTATTACTCGACCTACTTATTAGAGTATTCGATTATGGATGAATAGTTATAAAAACTGAAGGTAATGTATAGATATTATTTTTGACCTTACCAAATAATAGGAGGAATTAGCAAATGTACCTATTACGAATGACCTTCCGTTATTAAAATGCACCTATTTATTTTGCATAGTTCGTTACACTTTATCCTTCTCTGTAAAGTGGAATTTACGCTGCTAGAGGTAAATTTTTCCATATATAGAGAAAATATTTACGATAAACATGCAATAATAAATAGTGTAATGGAATAGTGGTGTTATTCACATCATCTATTGTATATACAACGAAAATTCTCTAGAACAGAAGAACGCAAACTGAAGCAATGTTTCGACAGAGTTTTCTTTTATTTCTTCTCTCTTTTCCTTTTTAGTATATATACAATAACACGACTCTACTGTTGGCGTTCTTTCATTTTGTTTTAGATCTGCGTCACGATCTCCTTGTTGTGTTGTAGCACAATCCTTGTACATCCAATTATTTTTATACCGTCTTGAGGTACCTCGTTTTAGTTAGTTAAGCATTCTTCGTCGCCTTAAGGAGGTTGGAGAGCTACACAGTTGAGTTTCACCATTTTACGAATGCATGACTTTTAATGATTTGAAAAAATGGTGAAACCTTTTCATTTTGCATCTAATTTTAAATATTTAGTATATATTTCGTTTAGCTTTACTAAATTCAGTTTTGTAAATGTGACTAACAAAATCAATTACATACTATTTTTAGTGAACAGTAATTTATTTAACAGCGTATCTTTCCAATATCCTTATCACTCCGTTATGTGTAAAGCGTCTTATTTTAATTTTTTCTAATCCGATTCATTTGAGCCAGTATTTAATCCCAATATTCAAATAAATGCATTATTTAAAATATACTCCAAACTTGCACGCTTTATTGAAAAACCACTTTAGTCGCTGACATTTTCAATTTAGTGACGGTAGTGTGGTTAATTTAATCTTCTCCATAGTTTGCTGAAGGCACAATTAGTGTTGCCCAAACGCAAGAACAAGACGAGACNATAACTAT